CAGGGTTAAGTGACTTGCCCAGAGTCACACAGCTAGGCAGTATCTGAAGACAGATTTGAGCTTAGGTCTTCCTGACTCCTGGCCCAGCACTGTATCCTAGCTGCATATTGACTTAGAAAACCATAAATTCACAATAGCTATGTTTTATTTTTATTTATTTTGTTTAACATTCCACAATTACATTTTTTTTTAGGCAATTGGGGTTAAGTGACTTGCCCAGGGTCACACAGCTAGTAAGTGAACTTGGGTGAGAAGGGCCTTGGCTTTGGTGCTTGGCTCTTGTCACTCTCAGTGTGACCAGGGGCCAGCTGTTTAAACTGCCCCAAGCTCCATTTCCTCTTTTCTAAAGTAGACCAGTTTGGGTCGTAAGTGCTCTGTCAGTGCTGGCGTGGCCATCGGTCTTCCCCTTAGGTTACTTATCCCTTCTGCCATTTTGGCTCACACAGCTAGTAAGTGTCAGGTGTTTGGTCTGAGGCTGGATTTGAACTCAGGTCCTCCTGACTTCAGGGCCAGTGCTCTATCCACTGAGCCATGTAGCTGCGCCCCACCCTCCCGCAGTTACATTTCAATCTGGTTTCCACTCAGGAGTTTTGTGGGCTGCATGAGGCCCCAGAGGCCATGAGTTTAGCACCTCTGGCTAGAGCACTGAGGAGTTAGTTAAGTGAAGTGGCCAGGGTTCCAGAGATAGCACTTGAACCCAGATTTTCTGAGTTTTGAAGCAGGTATCTTATCTACTACAATCATGCTGCTTCTCTTACAAGCATAAGAGCTCATGTCAAGGGTCATCTTTCAATAGGTCATCCTCAGCTATGTTTAAAACTCTGATTCACAGGCAGGAGATGTTTGAATTTTTTAGCACCAGGTTCAAGGCCACTGGATGAGAGGTAGAGAGGCAGCTGTTCTGCATTCTTGCTCTCTACCCTCTGGGGCAAATGGCCCTCTACTCCTGACTCTGCCTCCTTAATTTTTGTCTTCATATATCACATTTGTCAATCATTCTCCCAGCTGGTGGTATCTCCTTTCCTTTCACGTCTTTACTACTACAAAAAGTGTTGCTATAAATACTTTTTATTTATCACTTGAATAAATGGCAGCTAATTAGTGAACATGGGGCAGCTAGGTGGCTCAGTGGATAGAGTACTAGGCCTGGAGTAAGAAAGACTCTTATCTCTGAATTCAAATCTGTCTTTAGATACTTACTAGCTGTATGACCCGGGCAAGCATTTAACCCTTTTTGCCTCAGTTTCCTCATCTGTAAAATGAGCTGGAAAAGAAAATGGCAAACCACTCCAGTATCTTTGCCAAGAAAATTCCAAATGGGGTCACAAAGAGTTGGATATAATTGAAATGATGGAACAACAAAAAATTAGTGGATAGTTCATTGGACTTAGAGTCAGGAAAACCTCAGTTAGAATCTGGCCTCAGAACTAGCTGTGTCACCCTAGGGAAGTCACTTAACCCCTCTGCATACCTCAGTTTCCTTACCTATAAAATGGGGATGATAAAAAATAGCACCTACTTCATAGGGTTGTTGTAAGAATCAGATGACATAATAAGTTCTTCTAACTCCAAAGTGCTATATAAATGGACCTTTTCCTTTGTCTTTGACCTCTTTGGGCTATATGCTAGCCTCAGTCCTAAGAAGTATATTTTCTAGGTCAATTTTGAATCATCTCATAAATCCGAGGCTCAGCTTGCTGGGCTTGGACTGAACTGTTCCCAAACCCTATCAAGGAGCAATCAGGAGTATCTAGAAGGAGCCCAGAACCAACCCAACCTCATTGGAGCTTTCAGAATCATGGGATGTCCCATGTGCAGAACCTTGGGCAGGATGAAACCCAGCCTGCCTGCAAGACAGGCCAACTCTTTATGATGCAGTTAACTCTTTACAATGCAGTAAACACCAGTAGTAGTAATTGTAGTAATTCCCACAGCTGAAACTCATGCATAAATAAGAGCAATGGTAGCATTGAAGGCTGGTGTTGGGATGTTGGGCTTATCCCCAAACGTAAGGGTCCCAAAAGAGTGTTGACATGGTTATTGAGTTGCATAAGTCAAATTGTGAAATTTTTTTGATGAACTTTTTTCTCTGAACTCAAAACCATTGAGATGCCCAATTCCTTCGCCTCTCGCCTGAACTTCCTCCACATTTACTTGGTTTATGTTTCCCCTTTGGACCCTCATGCGCCTCCATTGCTTACCCATGTTTCCAGACCTTGGATATATCTGATGGCCTGTGCTCCCGCTTGTTTGCTAGCATGCATCTCCCTGGCTTGTTTCTGGCCTTTTAGCCTTGGAACCAACACTGCTGTGGACAAAAATGCATATTGAGCCATCTGTCCACTCCAATGAGGGATCTTGGTCACAACCTCTGCCTGAGCCTGTCCCCGGTCACATCTTAAAAATGTGTTTGTGAGTGTGAAGAACATTTAAGAACCTTGACCACAATTGGATCATGGGGAATGTAGTGTATCAAACTCTGTTTTTACTGACTCTCTTCAGCTCCATATGAACCAACCGGTCTTGTCCTTGGGCCTTGGTGTTCCTTGACTAGAAAATAGGAATGGTCCTCGGGACCTATAATGCCAAAGGACATGGCATATTGTAACAGAATAAAATGTCTTAAAGTCTCTGAAATGACAAACTTTCACTCAAGCTTGTGATGACTGCAATTTTTTTTTTTTGCCATTAAATCATATGGAACAAAAGAGAAATAAAATCTTCTGAAATATTTGACTTTCAAACTGATCACAGCTTTTTAGACTGGGAGGGTACAGGCACTCCTTGATCAATGGCATTGACAACAGCTCTCCTTCTGAGGCATCTCACTGTTTACAAAGTGCTCTTTTCACCTTATCTCTGAGTGGCAGGGAGTTTTGTTGTCCTTCAGTCATTTCAGTTGTGTCTAACTCTTTGTGACTTCATTTGAAGTTTTCTTGGCAGAGATACTGGAGTGATTTGCCATTTCCATCTCCAGCTCATTTTACAGGGGATGAAATTGAGGCAAACGGGTTAAGTGACTTGCTCACGGTCACACTGCTAGTGTCTGAGGCCAGATTTGAACTCAGGGAGAGGAGTCTTTCTGGCTCCAGGCCCAGCATTTTATCTTCTGTGTCACCTGCCTGTGGTAAGGAGTAGAAGGGCTATTGGCTTCATTTTGCAGTTGTGATCTCCATCTGGGCAAACTGGTTAGAGAGATAAGCCTTGGATTCAGGATGGTCTGGGTTCAAGTCCCTCTTCTGACACATAGTGCATGTGCAACCCTGGAAAATTTATTTCACCTCTCTGTGTGCCAAGCTATAACATTCTAAGACTGTAGGGTTACTTACAGGCATATAAGGTTCCTGCTAGCTTTAAATTCTTTAATCCTAAATTTCAAGGCAGGTACCATCTGCATTGGTAGAGATACCAGAAGTGTCAAGCTCAGGTAACACTCCCTTTGGGTAACTAGAACCAGATTAAAATGTAATTGGGTAATATTTAATAAATTAATAAAAATACACTATAATATAGATAATGTGTGGTTTTCTAAGTCCAATAGGCAGGCATTCTTATGTAAGGTTTGGTGGCCCCTGTTTCTTCTTGAGTTTGATGCCCTACACCAATGAAATCACAGATTCAGTCTAGCTAGGTTACTGTGGTTACTGTGCTGGGCCTGGAGTCAGGAAGACCTGAGTTCAAATCTTACCTCAGACCCTTGTTAGCTGTGTGACCCTGGGCAAGTTACTTTACCTCTGTCTCCCTCAGTTTCCTCAAGTGTAAAACAGAGATAATAATAGCCTCTACCTCCCAGGGTTGTTTCAAGAATTGAATGAGATGGGGCAGCTAGGTGGTGCAGTGAATAGAGCACCGGCCCTGGATTCAAGAGGACCCAAGTTCAAATCCAGCCTCAGACACATAACACTTCCTAGCTATGTGACCCTGGGCAAGTCACTTCACTCCATTGCCCAGGCAAAAAAAAAAAAAAAGAATTGAATGAGATAATATTGGTAAAGCACTTTAGCATAGTGCTGGCACGTAGTAGGTCCTTAATAAGTGCTTGTTTCTTTCTTTCCCCCTCCACAAAACCCCAACCGTCTTTTCAATTTACATACGGAATATCTGAGGCACAGTCAAATAGGTGAAGTGACTGCCCAAAGAGCTACTAAGTGTCAGAGACAGTCTCCCCACACATACAGTGTTATTGCTACTCTAACACAGCTGGGGATGAAAGGTTTGGTTATTCCGTTGCTCTGAGAGTGGCCTCCACATCTGGCCAGACACCAAACAGCTATGGAGATGACTGTAAACATGAAAAACAGTGGAAAGTACATACGGTGATAATACAAGTAGGTTTCCCCTGAAAAATAAAGAACCCCCATCTAGGTCTCTCCACTCTAGGGTATTTGTTGGGTTACTCGTCCACACAGCCACAATCATTAGCATATAAAAGAAACTACTCCTAGGGAACCTGAATGTAGTTAGGAAGGCCTTTGCTTCTGGAACACTTGCTAAGGTCATCCCTAGAATGGCATTCTCTCCAGGGCAAGGAGAGCAGAGATTGGGAAGTCCAAGAAACAGAAAGAGCCCTGAATGGGGAGTCAGAGGACACTGCTATCTCGTTGGGTGACCCTGGGCAAGTCACTTAGCCTAGAACTGTTTCTTCACCTGGGAGAAGAGGGGTTTGGGTCTTATGAGGCCCCTTTCAGCTCAAATATCTGTTATGTGTGCTGGATCTATATGGTACAAGTCCAGTGTGGCAGAGTAGTATTAGAAAGCACAGAACTGAGAGATAGGGGAAACCAGTTCAAGTCTTATCTCTGCCAAAAACAATTATGTTTCCCTGGGTAAGTATCTTCCCTTTTGTGAACTTCACTTTTCTCATTTGTAAAATGAGGGGAAGGGTGGGGAGGGGAGGTGATTCCATGATTCCATGAATCATGATTCCATGATTCCTAAGATTCCTTCTAGTTCTGGCATTCAGTGATTTCCTTTCACACTTTGTCCTGTTTCATTCCCAGGCCTAGCTCCAGGGCAGCTGTACACATACCCTGCCCGTTGCTGGCGCAAGAAGAGGCGACTGCACCCGCCTGAAGATCCGAAGCTGAGGCTGCTGGAGATAAAACCTGGTCAGTGTCATTAGAAACTCAGCTGTGCTGACACTAGGCAGGAGGGGGAAGGAGGAAGGGGGTGGGGAGGGGGAGGGGTGGTGATGGGGGGGCTGCTTAGGTGAGAGAGGGGATAGAGTGGGAAGGGAGAGCAGCTGTTTTCCCCAGCCCTCTCCTCTTCTGCCTTTGTTCATTGATGCTGGAGGAATGAGTTTCTCCATCAGTGGAACAAAGAATGACCGAATGACCAGGTGACCTAATTAAGCGTAGATAAACAGGAGTGTATATATGTTTGCTCACGTGGCTAAGGACATGTGCATGTGAGTGTGTATGAAATGTTCTTTTTCTCTGTCTTTCCCTTTCTTCCCTCCCCTTCCCTCTTTTCCTTTCCCGTCTCCCCTCCCACTTCTCCCCCTTTCCTTCTTTCTTTCTCTCCTCTCTCATCCCTCTCTGTCTCTTTTCCCTTCCCCCCCTTCTTTCGTTGCTTTTCCCATATTCCCGGCTCTGCTTACCATTAAATTAATAGGAAGAAACAGGGTGGGAGCAGACCCCAAGCCAATCTGTCAGGACACATCTAGGGAAGTTGCAGCTAGATCAGAGAGCAGCATGTCCCTCCCCTTGCTTGCAATCTCTAATAAATTGCTTGAATCCTAGGTTATGTGTTTTTGAGGTGAAATCTCTCTCTCTCTCTCTCTCTCTCTCTCTCTCTCTCTCTCTCTCTCTCTCTCTCTCTCTCTCTCTCTCTCTCTCTCTCTCTCTCCTTTTCTCTGAGGACTGCTGCAGAAACTTCCCAGAGGAAGGGGTCCAGTTCACAAATAAACAGATCCCAAGATATGAAACAGAAATGGAGATACCCATAGGAAGGTCACAGAACTGCTCAGGAATATCTGGGATGAATTGGCTGATTTAAACCATTGCTTACTATTATTGTTAGTCTTATTACTTGACGGCTAACTCCTGCTACTTTGGCTCTTTTCAGAACAGTCTTTAGGGTTCAGCAAATCAGAGCAAATTGTCTGAGACTTTGGGAAGTTCATCTTATTGTTACTTTAAGAATTAAGTGAACAGAACTTTGAAATGACTTTGCTTCCTTGGCAGGACAGAAAGAGGGGTGTGTGTGTGGAAAGTTGGGAAATGTCCCCAGGTGGTGCTAAAAAAACCCCCAAAGCTTGAGGTACTCAAAAGAAAAAAGAACTATTTAATCCCTCTGTCTCCTTTCATCATCAGCCATGCAGGTGGGATGGAGGTTGGCCACCAGACAGTAAGGCCTCCCCCCCCCCTTAATTTCCACTTTCACCCCTCAGGCTGTTTTTCCCCTTTTAATGCTTCTACTAGTTATTTTTCCTCAATGTTTTGTACCCTCTGTTCCATTGGTCAAGGCTGTATAAAGCTTCCCCTTAATCAGATTTCACCTGTACAAAAATGTCTTGGGCTGGGAGTAGGATGCACAAGGATTTGGCCCAGGTCCTTAAAATTGCTTACAGGTAGTCAGTCTGAGTGGCCATTCCAGTAAGTCTGCAAAGGCACAGTGACCCACGCCAAGTCACTTCAGAAAGTATCCACAGAAAACTTACTAGTACAAGGTAGGTGACATGTAAAGTCCTGCCATCAGACAGTGTGAGTTCAGGTGATGGTTTAAATAAATGACTGATTCTTCATTTAGAGGGACGCCTCTGTTAGTCTTCTGATCCCTTCTGACTCCATAAGGAGGTGATGGGAAGGGCAGCCCCACTGTGGACCACTGGTAAGGTTCACAGTGACCCCTGGTGGTTCCTGGAACAGTTTTGAGAAGCAAGGGCTGGGTGGTTCAGCAATTGGGCTGATTGATATCATTCATTTTAAAAATACAAACAAAACAAACATAACACAACATCTACAGCTGCACCTTGGAGCACGTTTCCCTAACTTCTGTTGTTTTGTAAACAATTAAAGCCCTTTTAACCACATTCTACCATAAAGCCCTCAGCCCTACTCTCATAATATTGACAATTGTCATCTGGCTGTTATCTGGCTCCTAGATGCTCCTAGGCCTTCTGGGAAGCTCGAGCTCCCTGGCTGGTGGCTGTATTCTTATGTATCAACTTTCCATGGTGGTGTGATTTCACCCAACCTCAAGTTTTCATGGTAACAACCAACCAATTAATCAGCATTTGTCAAGTACCTATACTAAGGTTTGTGTCAAGCACTATACTAAGTCCTGCAGTTACACAGATATAAAGAAAACAGTCCCTGCCCTCAAGGCATTTACATTATATTGGGAGAGAACCAACATGTACACATATAAAGTAAATAAAAATAAATAAAAGTGAATTTTGGTGTTTATTGTTCAGTCGTGTCAGGTTCTTCAAGACCCCATCTGGAGTTTTCTTGGGAAAGATACTGGAGTGGTTTGCCGTTTCGTACTCAGGCTCATTTTACAGATGAGGAAACTGAGGCAAATTTGAACTCAGGTCCTCCGGACTCCAGGGCTGGCACTCTCCACTATGCCACCTAGCTGTCTTTGAATTCAAATCCAGCCTCAGACACTCACTAGCTGTGGGACCCCTGGACATGTCACTTGATGTTTGCCTCAGTTTCCTCATTTGTAAAATGAACCAGAGAAGGAAACAGCAAACCACTCCAATATCTTTGCCAAGAAAACCCCGAATGGGGTCACGAAGCATCAGAATTTTGGTGGAGGAAGCATGAATAAATAGCTTGCTGGGGAGATCAGTAAAGGAGGTGGCATTTGAATTGAGTTCTGAAGGAAGTAAAAGAGGTGAACATTCTAAGAGGTGAACAAGGAGTACATTCCAGGCATGGGGCACAGTTAATGCAAAGGCAGGGAGGTGGGACATAGAATTTTGCCCTTGAGGAATAGAAAATTGTCCAATTTGCCTGTATTTTAGTATCTGTAATATGTTTGAAGAGGCAGCCTGGAGTCAGATCTTGAAGGGCTTTCCATGCTAAGCCAAGGAGTTTGTATTTTTTCCTAGAGGTAGTAGAGAAGTCTTGGAGCTTTTTGAACACAGAGGTAACACATGCAGACATGTGCTTTAGGAATATAAATTTGGCAACCATGTGGAGGATGGATAATAGTGCAATCAGACCAATGGGGATGCTATTGCAATAGTATAGGTGAGAGGTGATAAGTGCCCGAGCTTGGTGTCTGTGATGTGAGTGGAAAGGAGGAGATGGATGTGAGGGAGCTTTGGAGATAGGATTGTCAAGATTTGTCAATGGATGAGAAAAATAATGATAACAGCTAACATTTATATAGCATTTACTATGAGCCAACAGAATGCTTTACAAATATTATCTCATTTGATCCTCACAACAACCCGGTCAAGTAGGTTCTATTATTATCCTCGTTTTACAGTTGGGGAAACTGAGAGGAGACAGAGGTGAAGTGATTTGTACCTATGATAGATATTCCATGTGCTGTGTGAAGTGTTAGGGAAGTAAAGAAAGACAAGGTCATGGTTTTGAAGGATCTCACGGTCTAATTGGGAAGACATGTCAACACTTACATACAAACAAGATATAGATGGGACAGATTGGAGACAGTCAACGGAGGGCAGGTGCTGGAGCTAAGGGGGTTCAGAAAAGCCTTGAAGATGAAGGGATTTTAGCTGGGAGTTGAAGGAAGCCAGACAAGCCAGGGAAGCCAGTAGTAGAGATGAAGGTATTTCCCCCAGTGGGGGTAAGGGCTGGTGTTGGGACTAGTCGTGAATTCTAGTTGAGCTGGTGTCATGGCACTTAGTGAAGTTCTCCCAGTTTTGGGAGGGTTAGGGAGGGTGACACAACTTGGAAATGCTTGAGCATGTATAGACCAGATGTGTAGCATGGTAAACTGAGATTGAAAATATGGAATATGGGTACTAGAGCTAAAAGGTCAAAGGTGAAAATAGTGTCTGGAGTGAAAGCAGGGTCAAAATCAAATCAAAGTCTGCAGAGGGTATTGAGAAGTGAGGTGTAGAGCTAGGTTTTGCTTGTGTGTATTTATGCGTGTGTGGGGTAGCTAGGTGGCACAGTGGGTATAGAGTGCTAGGCCTGGAGTCAGGAAGACCTCAGTTCAAATCCAGCCTCGGACGCTTATTAGCTGTGTGACCCTGAGCAAGTCACTTAACTCAGTTTCCTCACCTGTAAAATGAGCTGGAAAAGAAAGGGGCAAACCTTTCCAGTATTTTTGCCAAGAAAACCCAAATGGGGTCATGGAGAGTCAGATACTGAAAGGAATGGACAACAACAATCTGTGTGTATGTGGGAGGGAAGGGTGTTGAAATGAACAACAAGGGGTGGAACTTGACAAACTGTTTTCTTGCTTTCCTGTTCTTGATGCAGAAGTGAGTCTTTTTTCCTGGCCATGAGTGGCCCCTCACTTCTGACTTGCTTTCAGGGCTTTTTCATCTTGCTCTCAGAGTCAGTGGCTGCCTCCAACGTAGCAGAGGTGGGGTGGAGTTTTGCCCCATACTACCTAGAAGGTAGCACTGAAAGCTTCCCCTCCCTAGTGATGAGTGTTCAAATCACACCTCTAACGCTGAAATTTAAAAAAGGAAAGAGAAAGTAAATATCTCTAAGTATCTTTAAATAGGTTTGAAAGCAAACAAGTAAAAAAAAATTATCAGGTCTAAGTGTTGGTAGATAGTAGGGGTGCTATAAATAGTATTCTTGAGATGGCTATGGGTTAAATTATCAGTGGTGTCAAACTGAAATAGAAACTAGGGCGTCCTGCAGGAAGCACGTTGACTTGGAAAACCACAAATTAACGTGAGCTATGTTCTATTGCATTTCTATTTATTTTGTTAAATATTTCCCAATTACATTTTAATCTGGTTTGGGCTATACTTGGGAGTGTTGCAGGCCATAGAGGGCCTCCTGTTTGATGTGTTTGGATTAGATGACCTTTGAGGCCCTTCCAACTTTGAGACTTGTGATTCTACATAGATGTTTTTGGGATCATCGAATTACAGATTTAGAGCTGGAAGGGACTGTAGAAGTCATTGAGTACAAACCCTAATTTACAGATGAGGAAACTGAGG